GAAAAGTAGCGACCACGGAGAAAGCAAAAAGTTCTGATGCATAAGGCAAGGAAGTCATTCCCCAGAAATGCCCATTTATAACCCTAGTTGACGTGCATCCATCATCTCAGCCGGGCGCAATTCATGCGCATCCCTAGCATTTAAGTAAGGAACATGTGGCTTCATGGGGATCACCGAAGCGTCAAGATCAATGAGCTACTATCCCCATTGGTGGCACACATTCTTTAACAGATGAAACCGTCATATCTAGAGTACGGAAAAAGATGTGTAAAAAGACCAAAATGACCCCATGATTCACAGAAAGACGCTTGAAGGGGGGAACATAGGATTTCTAGCTAAACTTGCCATCTCGCCTTAGTCTATGATTAACCTGCCTTGGAAAGGGAAAAGTCAGCTCGGCTATGCAAGGCCAAAGCCTTGGCCCTACCACGACCACACAAAACAACTTGGGAACCATAATTTGGGATCTTGAAGTCAGCAAACAACATCATGACTTTCATTCAACAGAACCAGGGAGGAAGATATCATTTACAAGCAATAAGAAAATAATGACATTCCTAACAAGAAGCCGTACCAAACCAAAAGTTACTTTAAATTCACAAAGATAAAGTACTACAAAGGTCCTCGTCAAATCACCAAAAATGAAAAGAGAGAAGCAACCACGGGTCTACCTCAGGTAACCACCTTACTACTGCCGCTAACTCCCTTGTCAATTTTTTTAGCTGGGACATCGAGCTCCTCGAAAACGGAAGCCCCCTTAGCACCTGGCACCACGACCTCTTTAGCAGCCGCAGACCCCTTCTTGTACTCAAGCCGTGACACAAAGGAATGTAGCTCGAGGTCAGGATGAGCATCCTCAATTTGGTCCCTGTAGTTCAGGAACACTTTCACAAAGGCAGAGGTGCCCTCTCTCAACAGCTCGAACACCCAAGCCTATAAAGACGACAACTTAGAATCCTTGGCCTTTAGATCTGCATTCTTGGCTTTGATTTCGTCGTCGTTGGTCGTGAGGTCTGCATCTTTAGCCTTGAGCTTAGCCTCCAAACCCCCAATCTGAGACTCTTTGAGTGCGATATGGTCCTGATGGCGGGAGTCCAGCTCATCGTTGATCTTCTTCAATTTTGCGACCTTAAAAACTAGAATCTGTAACTTCCCCTCGGCAGCCTCCGTGCTGACCGTCATGACATCGAGAGCGTCCTTGGCCTTTTGGAGATGCCGCTCATGATGGATGTCTAACATCTTCATGCAGGCGAGCGACTATAAAAAAAAAGGAGATCGGTTAACGTGGTAAAAAGGAAAAGAATTCAAGAATGTCTGAGTGAATAAATAGAACAAGAAGGTACCTCGGCCAAGCCTTGGATGGTATACTGGACCTTCTTTTTACAGGGAACCTCCATCGCTGACTAAGGATCTGACGTGGAGATCAACTCTGATAGAGCAGCCACTGTGGCTTCAGGATCGTGAAGGAAGCTGCCCCCACGCACCTTAGGCTTAGAAGGGGCGAGCTCCTCTTTCTTACCCTTTGGAGGAACCGTCTCAGGTGAGGCAGAATGCCTCCGAGCTGGTGTCGCCCTTGGAAAGTATAAAAGAAGGCGGGGGAACGCCAACATCCCCTCGGGAAGGAACGACTTCACTTTTCTTTTCCAAAGAAGTGGGTATGGGCCCAGTGGCCGACGCCTCCTTGGGTGGCAGCTGGCTTTGCTTCTCCAATCTCCTCCTCTTTCTCGATTGCTCGGTATCCTAGAACACTGCCATGATCAGATCTTGGTTAATGTTACCTGACTGGGAGGTAGAAGGTGGTGCAACCTCTGAAGCTTGGATAATGGGCGGTCCTAGTCAGTGTTTAGCTAGGCTTTCGTTAGTCACTAAGTCAAAGAAATCCTTCAACCCAAAGGCTTCAATTCTAGCAATTTGGGCCGCCTCCTCAGTGCCGAGTACCGGGCAGAATTCTATAAATCAGATCAGAAGTTAGAAACAAAAAAAAAGGAGAGAAAATAAGATAACAAAGGGGAACACGACCGGTAGATTAGCCTTACGAGTGTTCCTTGGGACCCCCAAGGTCTTGGAACACAGGGAATATCGCTGGGCTCCCTTGACAACTCCCAGGAATCGCCCCTAGCAAAAAAGAACCTCAGTTTCGACCCTTTATTGGAAGACGGAAACCCAAATATCAGAGTCTTTGCCTTTAGCCGTTTAGCAAAATACACAAAATCTGAGGAGGGAGAAGACTTCAACTGAAAAAGGAAAGTAAATTCTTGTATAGAAGGAAGGGGAAGGTTCCTACTCTTGAACCAATGGACAACGAAACCAACCAAGAGGCCCCAACCATTGGGAGACAGTTGGGCCGGACAGACATTGTAGAATCTGAGAACATTCTGGATAAAAGGATGGATAGGAAATCAAAGACTAGCCCGGAATGCAGACTAGAAGAAGCAAGTGAATCCAGGGAGGATAGAATTACACCTCTCATGCTCCCCGGGGGAATGTAATTCCACAAAATTAGGAAAGCAATACTCACGCCTTAATTCCTCAAAATCCTCATCACCAAGGCAGTTAGAGGTCCCCTCCGCACAACAGGTCAGGTCAGATGGCTCGCGACGAATTCATTTTTTAGGAAGGGGGGTGAGCCGGCCAGAATTTCCTCTTCATTGGTTGAGCCAAAGAACCAGGAGAAAGAGCGAAAAGAGGTACAGCCTCTGTTGGAGGCACCAGGGATGAAGCTCTAGGAGTGGAGTCAAGGGCTCTATCGTCGGTGGAAAGAGAACGCCCACTAGAGGAAGCCATAGTGGTCTCCTCGGCCTCCCCACTAACGGATTCCAATTCATAAGAGGAAGAAACGAAAAATTTCCCCATCAAAAGGTTGGATCTCACACTGGAATGAAGGAAAGGGAAATACAAGGCACAATCCGCCAAAAATAAAGGTTTCAGACACTAGGCCCTAAGTAAGGATACCCTCGCCACTGAAGAACGGTCTACGAATTGCAAAAGAAAAGAAAGGTCATCTGGGTGTTCTCTGAAATAACTAAACCTCCAGATTAGAAAGTGAAACCCAAAACCCCACTAGGGAGGGTTAAATGGATCCAGGTCGAAATAGCAAGTAGAAAGGAAGAAGGACATACCTAGTGAAACGCTAGAGGAAGAGGAGAACCAGAGACGAGGAGGTCGTAAGTCGCCCTAGAGTCCGGATCAAAACACTTCGAATGCACAGAAAGGGAAGGGAGCACGAAAGAAAGTGGAACTCAGAACCACAGAGCAAGAAGCCAAGAGACCTTTCCCCCCACTTTTTAAGGGACATATATGTATGTGTGGAGCATTAAATTCATGACAGGAAAATGACTGGACATGCCACAAAAGCCGTATCCATAGGCTCACCCGATGATGACACATGTACATTACCATCCCATCATCGCCGACAAACAGAGGCATGGCCCAATCCTGGTCAGAACCAATAGCAGAACACAGTCATCACTTTGAAAGCCCATAACACACCCAAAAAAGTCATTTTTAACCCCAGGCCAAAAATGATAACATCTTCATGACCTAGGGCTGGGGGGCAACTGATACAGACAAAATTTAAGGCCAGGGCTTTGATGGCCCAGAAGCTTGACCAGCCCAAGAGGCCCGGAGTAGAGAATGAGGACTTAGCATCAGCAAAAAGCCTATAACCCAACAATCCAGGCCCAGTCCAAACCATAAAGCGGTTTGGAGAATAAACGTCCAGTCTAAGCTATCTTTAGATGGGAAGAGGGGACCACACATCCATGGGGACCACCTCTGACACCTACGACAATCTCAGAGAAGGTGGAGCACCAGGCCGCCAGAGATCATGGCAACGGCAGTGCTAGATGAACAGGGACGCCGGATGAGCAGTGATCGTGGTGGCGGAAGAAGTAGGAGGGGGTCAGAGGAAAGAACAACTGAAGGCCCTAAGAGGGGCTAATATAAATAGATAACGATAACCCAGGCAAAAGGAGGATTTTCCCAGAAAAAGTTTAGAGAACATTAGAGAGCCTAAGAGGGCAGAAAGCTGAGAGAGAATACCTGGATACTCATCCTTTGTAAGCGGACTTCGAGTCCCAAATTATAGGAGGCACTTTGCCGGCCGATGAATATGCAAACCCAGCGAGCAAGAGACTTCGTTGATAGTGGATGTAGCCTTAGTCTTTCTGCCAAGGTGAACCACTTATATTTCCAGTCTAACTGATCATTTAAGATTAATCCATAAACTCCAAAAACCATTTCACAACACCATCCCATGTTAGTTGGGCTTAGGCCACAAATCCTGAGCACCATCAAAATCCAATCGTCAACTTGGGGCCTACAACCAGTAAATATAGATCATCTATGAATAATCAATTAATACAATAAGTTGTAGCATATCTTTTTTCAAAATTTAATTATTATTAATTTTTGCATTAACTTTTTTCTATAAACCTAAAACTCAAGGGTCTCTATATTATAAGCAATGCTATGGATCCTAAATTTTGGATCTCAAATTCATAGGGACTCTTGAATCATTGGGGCCCAGCAACATTTTCTACCGAGATCCATTAATCCATGGGTGTACACTTGAGAGCCAAAACTTATTTAGGATCCAAAGTATTATTGCTATTGATGGTATAAAAATTGAGAAGCAATGCGATGAATGAATTGTTAATTAAATGTGATGAATGATCTATTAGAGTGAAGAAAATGGAAAGATTTGAGTGGTTTATCCCGCGAAAGAGTAGGAGTACACTGTTTAAGCGAGGCTCTTGCTCCTATTGGGTATATTGCTTGAGGAAGAATAAGTTACAAATTAGGGTTTTGTTAGGGACAGTGTGTTAGCTTACCCTTTGGTACACTATATCATTGTTTTATATAACAAATTGGTTAGGGAATATTTGACTGTTGTGAATTTGTTTGCCCAATGTATGATGTAAGCTTCTTGAAATGGTGACCTTTTGCCCAAGGTAGGGTTTATTAGTGAAATTCCCTTGTTACCCCTTCTAGTAGTTTCCATGCTGAGGTCAGTTTTGATGGGTGTCGTGGTCCTGGAGATATATTTTCGTCCTTGGTCATTCTTAAGTCAGCTCGGGGAAATGACCATAATATCTGACCTGGCTAGCTCATTTTCTCTAGTATCATCAGTTGCCCCCAGCCTTGAGCTAGGCTTGAGTAAATCCTTGGTTGGGGCTAAGCTTCTAGATTGCGCTCGTCCAATCATGCTCTTAGGATTGTGCATAACCAAAAAGACGTGTTTGACTGTTGTCCCATTAATGCGTAATCATGATGACGTGCTGTGTTTTGCATCTCAATTTTTGGGGCACACCTCTCACCAAGCAACTTGTGTCCACGCATGCAAGCGCATTAAATGCGCCATAGTGCCTTGTAATTGCCAAAAAAATATTTCAATCCCTAATTATTGACTATAGCCTCCACCTACTTCTTCTTCGAATCAATGAGAGAGAAAACTAGAGAGGCATACCCCCGTTCATCGCTGTCCTCTTTGTCGGTGTCTATAGTCTTCGTCATTTTCCAGGTTCAATGAGTCCTTCTCGTAGGTACATCCTTCTCTTTCACTCTGGATTTTTCTAACCCTTGGTGGTGGCAAATAGTTTTTACTTTTTAGTTTTTAGGGTTTGTTACCATCGGTGGCTGGGTAGAACACTAGATTCCCCTCCTAGCTTCGTTGGCTATTCAATTGTAGTGAGGATATCCCTCGTTCACAATTTATGTCCTGAATCTCGAGTGTTTGAGGATAACTTTATGAACATTCCCTGTCTATTCCTTAGGCTAAATTGCCTTCTTCCTATATCTCGAGTCGTGCATTTTACATCTTTAGATTCATCATCTTCTATAACCTCCCTATTTGGGGATGAGGCTAATCAAGTCGAGGTCAGTTCATCTTCTAGGGGTGACGATGTTAACTTTGAAGATGTCTTGGAGATTGTCGAACATTTGAGTATTGCTTATCCTAAAGAGGTTCCTAAAAAGGCTAATAACGGGCCGCAAATTAGTACACCTAAAAAGTCTTCTTCGTCGGTTGTAGGTTCTTTTGAATAAAGAAAGAAGGCACTTCATGTCCCGGATGACTTGACCTGCTGTGATGGCAGCCTACACAACACAATTATTTAGACCCATTTTAGGTTTATTGTAAAACTCGAGAAAATTAAAACTTAATTAAAAAGAGTAAAATGGTAATTAGTCATTGTGGTACGAGTTAAAAAACTAAAATTTTATAGAACTTGGATGACGAAACAGACCTCACCATTGGATTTCTACTGCAAAATTTAGCTATCCAGTCAATTTTCGTTTAATTCTGAGACAGTTGAAATTTTCACATTTTACGATTTAATCGGGTGTCGCACGAATAAAATAAACATGTTCAGATTTTACTCACGAAACCCAAGAAATAATTTAAAGTTAGTTGAATAAAAATATACTAAACTTAACGCGGGGTGAGATTTAATTGATTTAGGATAAAATTGGACAAATTAAAGTGGGACGTGTGGTGCATTGTGAGCCAAGCATTGAAAGGGTATTTAAAAGGGGAAAAATCTAATTTTTCCCATTCTTAGGCTACAACTTTTGACAGAGAGGGAGAGAGAAGAAGAGAGAGATTTTCCAAACTTCTTCTACCTTTCTTTTCTGATCTACGAAGATCTAACCGTTGGATCGCTTCGGGCCAAGAGTTAAAGTTGTTCTACGCAAAGAGAGCTATGCAACCATACCAAATATCACGTTTTTCTCCAAAAGTTCAAAGAAAAAAATTTAGGGCTAAGGCTTGGAAGGCTTGATTTGGGGTCCTTGAAACTTCTACTACGCAGGCTTACATTACAAGAGGTAGGATTCCCTCCTATCTTGGTTTATTTCTAACCTAGGGTTGTGATATAAAAAGGGTAGGTGTTACCTCCTTAGCCATTGGTAGCATTTGTCATCTGGTAGCCTCGCCCAAAGGCGCCCATGCCTTAGCCAAAATGGCAGAAATCCCATGCATGATTGAGGGAGACAATTTATACACATGGGCACAAGTCAGCATGCAAGCAAGGAAGCGGGTGGTTTGAATTGTGGGGCGATGCTAGCTTGAATAATGAGCTATGGGATGGGCCATGGTTAGGCACGAATGCAATGCAATTCGGATGCTGAGGGTTCCTGGCACATGCACAACATGTGAGGAAGTTGGGCATGTGACCTGCAGATGATGGCAGTTCTGGGCAGTTTTCTAACAACTGTAGAGCATGTGGGATCTCTGTCAGATACAGACAAACATGTAGGGAAGTCTGTAGACACTAGTTATAACTTCCCTGTCATCCAATCACAACAAACCTCTTATAGCATTTGAATTATAGGCATATGCCTAGGTGGTTGGGCTAGTAATCGCCACCCTGAACATTATAAATAGGGTGCTTGGGGTCTATAGTGCAACAATAGGGTTGGCACATTTTTGTAAACAGACCCAGGGTTGAGTTCCTTATACTTTATTGAGGAAGAAAGGTTTGGCTGTTGCCTGTAAATTCAGTGTGCTTTGTTTGTGTGTCTGATTACTATCCATTCTCTATTATATGTGCATTCTGTATACATTCTGAGTGTCTAGCTGAGACTAAGTGTGGGATCTTAGTGCCATCACGAGGCAAAAATTTAGTGAAAAAATTAACCTCGTGATAATTGGTATCAGAGCTTCAGTTTGCCACAATGGCCAGTGGAAACACTGTTGAATTGGGAGAACGTATTGCCTATCTCGAAGATTTTCTAGGCGCCCCTCAGGTTGATGGTTTAACCAGCTTGGCTGTGTAGATGGAGTAGCACGCTATTCAGATTGCGGGATTACAGACTACTTTTGATAGTTACGTGACTGACACTGATGCAAAAATTATAACAATGATGGAGGATATCACGTCTTTCACAGACGCTGTCAAAAAGAATCAGAAGGATTTTGAAGATGAAGTGTCCCTGGTGAAGAAGCTCATGAATTCTCGATCTGCTATGGGGGAGACAGCTTCAAAGATTAAAGTCCCTAAACCAAAGGCCTTCGGAGGCAGCCGAAGCTTCAAGGATCTCGAGAATTTCCTGTGGGGCATAAAACAGTACTTTAAGGTGGCCAATGTGCCTAATGGAGAGAAAGTGACAATCACCAATATGTATTTATCTGGTGATGCCAAATTATGGTGGAGGACCCGAAATGTGGACGATGGCTCTACTGGTCGTCCAAAGATCAAGACGTGGGAGACCTTGAAAAAGGAATTGAAGGATCAATTCCTCCCTAGCAATACGACTTGGATTGCTAGGGACTCACTCAAAAAGTTAAAGCACACCGAAACAGTTTGTGATTACGTGAAGGAGTTTAGTTCATTGATGTTGGCCATCAAGAACATGTCAGAGGAAGACAAACTCTTCAACTTTATGTCCGGACTACAAGGTTGGGCACAAGCACAACTGCGGAGGCAGGGGGTACGTGATCTTGCCACTGCCATTTTTGCAGCATATGGCCTCGTTGACTTTAAAATGGGTGGCAGCCAAGGCCCTCCTGAGAAAAAGAAGAAGGATGGTGGCAGTAGGAAAGATAAGGTTGGCACTTCCAAATATGCAAAGAAAGCGGATTGGAAGAAAAAGAAGAACGTTGCTGACTTTAACAAGCCAAACAACAGTCAGAAGAAGAATACTTTTGATTATGGCTGTTTTCTCTGAGGTGGTCCCCATCGTGTCAAAGAATGCCCTAAGAGGGAGAAGTTAAGTGCCCTTGTGGCTTTTAGTGAGAATGATAGTGATGATAACTGTCCTACCGGAGTCAACCCTCTCTAGTTGCTGAACGCAATTACTGCGGGCAAAGTTTAGCAACCCCACAAAGGCCTCATGGTTGTTCAGACTTGGGTGAATGGCAAGGAAGTTTAGGCCATGATGGATACTGGAGCCACCCATAACTTCGTTGCCTAGAGAGAGGTGGGAAAGTTTGGCCTGAAATTTTCAGAGAATTCAAGCAAACTCAAGGCAGTAAATTCTGAAGCGATGCCAGTACGTGGTACAATAGAAATACGCCTAAAGGTTGGTCTGTGGGAAGGCCAAGTGAGTTTGATGGTTGTGCCCTTGGATGACTTTGATGTCATCCTAGGGAATGAATTCTTTGTTACAGCGAAAGTGGCACTAATGCCACATCTGAACGGAGTGCTTGTCACGGATGAGAAAACACCTTGTTTTGTGCCTACAATCATGGTAGACCAAAGCAAGAAAGATGGAAAGCGGAAGATGGGAATGCTGTCCACTATGCAAGTAAATGTTGGGTTGAAGAAGGGCGAGATGACATACCTCACAACCTTGGTGGAGATCAAACCAGATGTGCTAGTTGAAGTACCTGATGTTGTGGCAGATGTACTGGGTGAATTTGCTGATGTTATGCCCCCTGAACTCCCCAAGATCCTTCCACCCAGACGTGCAATTGACCACAAGATAGAATTGGAGCCTGGTGCAAAGCCTCCAGCCTGTGCCCCTTATCGGATGTCGCTAATGGAACTAGCAAAATTGAGGAAGCAATTGAACGAGTTGCTAGGTTCTAGCAGCATGAAGCCATCCAAGGCACCATATGGAGCCCCTATTCTATTCTAGAAGAAGCAAGATGGATCGTTGCGTATGTGCATCAACTATTGTGCCTTGAACAAGGTGACTATTAAGAACAAGTACCCTGTTCCTAACGTTGTTGATCTATTCGACAGACTATCCAAGGCCACTTTCTACACAAAGTTGGATCTTAGGACTGGGTATTGGAAGGTTAGAATTGCAGAAGGGGATGAGCCAAAGACAACGTGTGTGACACGTTATGGTTTTTTTTAATTCCTTGTAATGCCGTTTGGGCTCACTAATGCCTCGACAACTTTCTGTAATCTAATGAATGATGTTTTTTACGATTACATTGATGTCTTTGTGGTTGTTTACTTGGATGACATTGTGGTCTATAGTGAAACGTTGGAGGATCATATAGATCATTTAATGGCTGTGTTCTCACGGCTTAGGGAACACCAATTGTATGTTAAAAAGGAAAAGTGTGAATTTTGTGGCCAAGATGTGATGTTCTTGGGACATTATATTAGCCAGGGCAAAATCCGAATGGATGAGAGGAAGGTGAAGGCAATTTTTGATTGGCCTGCACCAACCAAGGTGTCTGAACTGAGGTCGTTCCTTGGCCTAGCCAACTACTACCGCAAGTTCATTGAGGGATATTCCAAGAAGTTCAATGTCTTGACTAAATTGCTGAAGAAAGACCAAAAATGAGACTGGAATGATGTCTGTCAAACAGCTTTTGAGAAGCTGAAGCATGTAGTGTCCTCTGCACTTGTATTGAGACTGGTGGACTTTGATCTGCCTTTCGAAGTGCACACTGATGTGTCTGACCGTGCCATTAGAGGAGTCCTTGTTCAGGATGGACACTCAGTTGCCTTTAAAAGCCAAAAATTAAAAGATACGGAATAACGATACTCAACACATGAGAAGGAAATGACTGATGTGGTGCATTGCCTTGAAATCTGGAGGCACTACTTGCTGGGAACAAAATTCACTGTTGTGACAGATAATGTGGCAAACACTTATTTCAAGACCCAGAAGAAGTTAACCCCGAAGCAGGCCCGATGGAAAGAATTTCTTGCTGAGTTCGATTTTGTATGGGTGCACAGATCCGAGAGGCAAAATCAAGTTGCTGATGCATTGAGTAGGAAGGAGGTCCAAGACTATGTTGCTGCACTGTCCAGTGTGCAGACTGACTTCCTGGCAAGAGTCAAAGAACGTGCCTAGATTGATGTTGCTTACGAAAAATTGAAGTAGCAAGTTGGCGAGGGTCTGGTGCGTAGGTATTGGATTGATAATGATTTGCTCTATGCTAACGGGGGCAGACTCTATATTCCTACGAGAGGGGAACTAAGACTAGAGTTGCTGCGTGAGACAAACGACTCTTAGTGGGTTGGACTTCCAGGAGTAGAGAGGATGCTTGCATTGCTAGCTCGCTCCTATTACTGGCCCAAGATGGAAGAAGATGTTGAGGCCTATGTCAGAACCTGTCTCAT